TCTCTCTCACCTTTAACTTATTAGTAAAAGACATGTTCAATTAATTACAATGATCTTTCTCTCTCTCACCTTTAACTTATTAGTAAAAGACATGTTCAATTAATTACAATGATCTTTCTCTCTCTCACCTTTAACTTATTAGTAAAAGACATGTTCAATTAATTACAATGATCTTTCTCTCTCTCACCTTTAACTTATTAGTAAAAGACATGTTCAATTAATTACAATGATCTTTCTCTCTCTCACCTTTAACTTATTAGTAAAAGACATGTTCAATTAATTACAATGATCTTTCTCTCTCTCACCTTTAACTTATTAGTAAAAGACATGTTCAATTAATTACAATGATCTTTCTCTCTCTCACCTTTAACTTATTAGTAAAAGACATGTTCAATTAATTACAATGATCTTTCTCTCTCTCACCTTTAACTTATTAGTAAAAGACATGTTCAATTAATTACAATGATCTTTCTCTCTCTCACCTTTAACTTATTAGTAAAAGACATGTTCAATTAATTACAATGATCTTTCTCTCTCTCACCTTTAACTTATTAGTAAAAGACATGTTCAATTAATTACAATGATCTTTCTCTCTCTCACCTTTAACTTATTAGTAAAAGACATGTTCAATTAATTACAATGATCTTTCTCTCTCTCACCTTTAACTTATTAGTAAAAGACATGTTCAATTAATTACAATGATCTTTCTCTCTCTCACCTTTAACTTATTAGTAAAAGACATGTTCAATTAATTACAATGATCTTTCTCTCTCTCACCTTTAACTTATTCATTAATTGCTGATGAAGCTCATATTCTAAGAATGGAAGAATCTGAAAGAAGATAAATTTATTTTAAAGTTCTTTTTAAACCAAGCCACCTAATGGAGTGAATGCACTTCTGAAAATGAGGTACAAAATCAACAAAGACAAAATAAATTTGCACTAAATCTATCAACATAGACAAAATTAATTTTAATTAATTTTTTTCTTTAAGTCCAAACAAAGCACTGATTAATAAAACTTTAAAATGTTTKATTCTTCAATGGTCCATCTGATTTAATACACTGAATTTGTTTCAATACTGGAAAAGGTCTCAGGTTTAATATCTCATCATTGACATTCATTGCTTTGAATCTAACAGCAAATGGAGCAGTCTGATACTAGATCCATTCATGTGTGATAAGAGCGATGTCACATAAGCAATGTTTTGCATGCAAATGAGTTTTGCAAGTAAAATTGTATGATAATGAAGTATGCATGTGCCTACATGCTTCAGTGGACAGCTGAAAAGCATTGATTTTTATTTCATTTCTATTTTGAAGATGGAAAAATTGACAAAATAAAGAATCGATGTGATTAGTATCATCCAATTTAACCACTTTTGARGTCCATTTGTGACTTTACATCCATCAAGCCTGTACACTATATCTAAAGTTGTCATYGCTTTGTGGCATAAATCTTTGTGAGCATCTTGCTCCTCGCATGCTACTTACCTGTCTGTTTTCTTCTTCTTTCTTGATTCATCTTCGTTTACTTAACCCTAATTGTCAGTTGACGACATAGAAAATTCTTTGTATAATWTATTTCGCACCTTCTGCTGCATTGCTTATGTGATATCACTCTATTATTATGAATACATATGTATCTCAAATGCTCAAAGCAGATTCCCAAAAATTTTAGAAAAAAATARGGGTGGAAGTTAGCAAAACGTTTGAAGATACAAATGAATGTAGTTTGATACTCGCAGTCAATCTGTATGAGGTTTGAAATTCCTATCAACTTGCTGTTATAAATCCTCATACAGATCTCCTGCTCATTTTCATCTGCTTAAACATTGTGTGGCTATCAAAGCAACTTTATAAAACTCTTCTAAAACTCATGAATTTATTCATTAGACATTCTTCTGATTAGCATTCAACTATGGGTCACATTAGAGAATCTATAACTCAAGTTACAAACACTGCTTAATTAAACYTGAGTTTTATAACTAACTGATTCAMTTAGTTATAACACTCATGAATAAAACATCAGTGTTGTGACTGATTTARAGACACTCCATGTGTGCCCAACGCTAGAAAAGTTCTCAGTTTTAGACTCTCATCATAGGTTTCAAGTTGAAATGTACTTATTGCAGATTCATAGTAGACTAAAACATAGTGGCGCTTGGATGTGGGAAACTAAGTTGATTGCTCATGCTCAGATGGTCGCTATCTTCATCAATTATTCATTTTTGATATTTTTTTATTTACTTCATGTTAAACTAAAATATTGGTAGTTTCTTAAGTTTGGGCTTTAGAAGTCATTTAAAAAACTCGTAGTTCATGTTTTATTGTGGATATAAACACTCGGCCTTCGGCCTCGTGTTTATATCTCACGATAAAACACTCGACCAACTCATTATTGAAATATCACGACTGACTAAATACCCACATTGCTAACAATCTCTGCATTTGCTTCTCCCTTTTCTTTCTTTTTTGTTCTGCAAACTCTAAATATTAATCAAAAGCATACATAGATTATTAGTATTTTGAAAGTAATATTTTTACTTTGAACCTCAAACCTTACCTGGCCTGGATTAAACAACCACTGCCTTTTACAACAGCCTCTTTAGGAAGTTCAGTTGTTGAAAATATTACATCAGGAACTTTATGAAATCTAGACAAAAACAATAGACTGGTGAAATAACAAGCATTTAGTATATAAAAGAACAATATTTTGTACTACACTGAAGGAAAAATGTAMTAATTTTATAATTATATTCATGGCTTTGTCATGTTGAAAATAATGAAACTAATAATCATTGTTTACCCATCCATATTTTTATACTAACTTTACTCAAAACAGTAATAAAGTAAATTATAGCAAAATGTCAAATCAATTATTTGATGTTGTGGACTCTAGACTTGGCCAGATTGTTTGCTTGTACCTTTTAATACAAACATCAGTTAGAATAACACTGACAGACAGACTTTGCTTATTTGGTCACCAATAATCATTAGGCTGAAGACAACAGGGTTAGGGTTTAGGACATTATTTCCCACTGTACCTGCAGAGATGGCATTTAGCTAAATTAATTGGAAATGGTAAGTCAGAGTCTGAGTAAGGAATATGGCACAAAGAACAGCCAAGGACTGGTGATGTGGAATAAGTTGATTCTTCAGCTGTTGGGAATCTACAATGTATTGATTCATATTGAGATAATTACTGTATCTTGCTAATCAAAACTTATAAAACAACAGGAACTTCATCCAGATTGTCAGATCATCCAAATATACTGATATCTCACTCTGCTGTTAAATTAAACAATTCTTATCAATTGACCACTAAAGCTATCATGTCATGTACTGTGGTACGCGATTTATAAGATGTTTTTGAATTAACTGTAAAAATTCCTCATTTCTTTTGATTTCTATAGGAAATGGATCCCCAATGCATTGAAAATCAAGAACTGAGGGATGTAAAAGGTTCAGAAGTCTATAATTGACATCTATTATGATTCAATGATTGTCTATATTACCAAATGGGATGTGGCATGTAATACTTTTTTTTCTTTTATATTTTTCTCTTTCAATAGTACAATCATGTAATTGTAAATTAAAATACAATTGTTTTAAACAGAAAAAACCACCATGATAACAAAATTGTTTGATACAACATCTGACTTAKATTTAACAACTAAATAAATGACTTGATATATGCACTTTTATCTAAAATTTACAATGTAGATAGTTCAATAAGCTTACTTACCCTTCAGTTACAGGACTTTCAGGTAAATCTGTCTGTATTACTAACAACTGATCACCGTCACCAACAGCTGGATTAGAAGCTGGTTTTGTCACTAAAATGTTATCAAAACATGTAATAAAGAAATCTGTAATGATTTATGATAACAATAATACAAACAGCACAATGAGTCAAATCTACATGACATATGTATTTTCTTGTTTAAACTAAACAGTTTTACTGATATTTTGCAAATTATTTTGAATTAAAATCAGTTGAGCTGAGAATAACACACAAAAATAAGTTATGAATGGCATAATACACTATCATGCTGATCATATCTCTTGACAACTAACGTTACTTAATGTGCGTAAGATAAAATTTCAAGAGATACATGGTACTAACCACAAATGAAGAAAATTTAAATGAAAAATCATTCAAGACACATGATCACATCCATTCAATCAAGGSCGCTAGAACTGAAATTATGACCTATAAGATCCAAAAATTGCTTAATTTATCCAACATAAGATAGTCGATAATAAATTGTAAAGTTTTACTTATCTGAAATYTACACTGAAATGTCCTCTTAGACACTAAAAAAGACTTGATTTTACTAAATTCATCCAAACGATCGTTACTCAAACTCTCAAGTTGTTGCTGAATTTAATTATTACCGCTGTCCTTGTTGTACCAGCCACTGCTGTCTCGCCAGGAACATTATTGATTAACGGGATTAAAATCACTTTGCCCTGGCTGAACACCAAAAGAGACAGGGGCAGGCAATAACAGGTGGCCCCTTTGACCAATTCATTATTGACTATSTTATTTTGGATAAATTAAGCAATTTTTGGATCTTATAGGTCATAATTTCAGTTCTAGCGCCCTTGGTCACAGCGCAAATTCTTAAGTTCAAGTTTACCATGAAAATAAATTAAAAAATGAATGGAGTATAAATTAAAGAAAGAATATTAAGAATTAGCAGARCAGATACTTCCAAGTGCACTGTCAATCAAGATACCAGCAGGTACTTAACATGATAGCCTTTAGTTTACTATTTGCAGACATGCTATTCKAAAAATAAAGCAACGACAGACTTAAAAATAGTATAAAAACTTACTCAAAAGTCCTGRTTCAACTGTTGTGTATGGCTGATCAAATGTCTTCAAATCAACACAAGATGCTGTCCCAGTTGCTGAGAGAACAATCAATTCATCACTGCAAAAAAAAAACATAAAAACTAGCACCTCAAAATAATAAATCTTAACCTACTCTTGAATATTTTTTTAATTTCATCTGCTGACTCAGAGGTTTCAGATAAATTGATACACCATCAGGGGTTAGATAAATATTTATCAATTAAAAAAGATCATTGCTACAACTTGTGGCTATGGACCTCATTTTAATCGATTTCCAGGKAAGTTTAATACATATTAAGGGCAGTTCTATCTATAGTAAACAATAATCATTCACCTGGCTTCAGTGCATAAAAATCTCAGTTTATGCAATTATATCATGATTTTAATAAAGTAATAACCTATGATATCATGTTATGAGGAACCTTCCATTTGCAATACATGTACATCATACACCTAATTGAAGAAACGTTGTCGGGTCCAAAAAGGTCAAATCATAGAAGCTAAGACCGAAAGGGTACTTGGGAAGACAAACAATTTGGCTAATTTCATATTAAACACCTCTCCAACATAAACGACTAGCATGCTGTTAATCTTACTAAGCTCTACTTGCTTAGTGTACACCATGTATGCAAATGTAATCCCAATTTAGTGGTACTCAAAATACCTTTCGGTCTTAGCTTCTATGATGTGACCTTTTCGAACACGACTACGTTTTTTCAATTAGGTGTATGTACACCTTTTCAAAGATTATGAGAATTTTATGCTATTTTTGGTGCAACCTACCAAATGCTTGTTGATTCATAGTATCCAATAACTGCATTGCAGCCCATTGCTCTGGCATGACTGCGTATTTCTGTTCTTACTTCTGACCACCAAGCATCCCTTGTTTCAGGTTCATCTAGTCGTGATTCCAATAGTATAGCATGATAACATATTCATTTTAAGGTGGCTTCCTATAGTTTTTTTTGGACAATAACTCTCCTTTTAAATTTGCTTTTTGAAAATCTTGCCATGCACCGATTTAATTAGTGTTCAGACCAGTATTAAAGCACTGACCAAAGTTTTGTTTGGTATAATATCATTTAGCTCCATCAACGTTACCAAGGCAATGGAAATCGCAATTTGTCAAAATTTGGTTTTGCCAAATATCAAAAAAAATTTGATGAGATTCAGAAAAGCGGTAGACATTATTGACTTCAAACTATTGCACAACATTTTGTAATAGTTGAAAACAAATTCATCTGATTCGATTTTGAGTATTATTGACAACTATTTTATGGATGTGATTTTTCCAGTTAATGATGATGTCTACTGCTTTTCTGGATCTCATCAATTTTTTGAGATATTTGGCAAAAACGAATTTCGACAAAATGCGATTTCAGTTGCCTAGGGAACAGGAATGGGAAACTATATTAAGCCACCTTGAATGAAAATATAGTAAAACCAATTGAAGGAACAACATTCATTGAATATGATCACCTGGATGATTGATTTTGTCCAAAAGTTTTACTGATCTTGCTGACACCACCCCACCAATGTGATGTAAGAACCCCCTGGGATATCGAGTAATTGTAAAGAAGGGTAGGTCCTGGAATAGACATAAAAATGGATTATTAAAAATAAATCATAACTCAAGAGAATTATATACAAAATAATGTAACTACCATAGAATAGGGGATCCTATACATATTGAAATAAACTATTATAGACGTTTTAGGAGCATGTCATGCTAGCCAGTACTCCATAAAAACATAATATTATCATTTGCCAAAAAAATGTAGATGACTGCATACAGCCATTTGACTATCATTGATCAGGTCCATCCATAAGCGCCGAGACTGAAAAGGATTACAGGTAAATTTAACATTTAAATTAACCATTAAGTAGATTGCCACTTCTTCTGTATTTCATAATCCAAAATGCTCACCAGCATAAAGCTTCGACATCTAATTACAAAAAATTATGTTATCCTGAAATTTCGGAAAACATTTTAAAAATACAAATTAAAGATGACCACTGAAGCTGAATACATTCTTTTGTATTTTGGTGATTAATTCCTAAATAGTTCTTTTTCTTGGACAATGTTTTTATATTACAAGTTGTATCCTCGAAGCCTGGTTTTACATGTAGCAACTTGTGATCGAAAATGGTGAGTCAATGGGGCAGTTATCTCCATGATCCTTTTCGACTTAGGCTTAGAGCTGCCATTTTTTTTCTGCCCTAATCTSCATCAAATGGGCTAGTATGCCTTGAATTTCCTTTGATGGTTCCAAAGTTTAAAGTCTCAAACTTTAAGTTGGTCAACTACAGCAGGAACAACTAGACTCCATAAGGTTAGGATTTATCTGAAAAGTAACTGAGAAGAACCCACAACCTTCGGATTTGTACTACCGATTCTCTACCAGCTGAGCTACAAGGTCAGACTGGGAGCAAGTCGGGGTGAAACAGATGTTAGGTTGTGGTAATAGAATATAATGTAAAGATATGAATATGAGGACTGCATGGCACTATGATAGACACGATATAGAAATGAAAGAATGCTGTAGTGCTTAGAAGGAGTCAATTCCGGGAGAAGGACCCTTAGGAATAAATTCGGAAAAATTAATTTCCGACCTGGCTGGGATTCGAACCCTGACCTGCTCACAGCTCAGCTAGTAGAGCATCGGTAGTACAAATCCGAAGGTCGTGGGTTCGAATCCATGACCGYATCACCTCCTTTCCTACACTACCCTGGATTGACACCTTGGGCAAGTATTTATATGAGGTAGAGAGAGGATGCTACTGGAGGCCTCTATTCACAAGTGCATATTTTGTATGACGGTGCTGGTCATGCTGTGATGCTTGCTCAGAGGACAATCTATAGCAACTTCCCAGTTTGCATTCCTGCAGGATGACAAGTCAGCCCTGATTAGGGAGAGCTCTYCCTTCTCCATGTTGAATAGAGTGGTATAAAATATCTGCTTGCTTTATTTCAACTTGCCTGCTGACCACATCAGTTTGGTAATCCAATACTGTGGTAGAAACAATAAAGAAAAAAATCACTTGGCAACATAGAATGTTTGGATGCTGCATGAAAATCCAAACAATCTAGAGCACTGTACAGCTGCCAATGCTGGCTAAGTACTTTAATGCTATAAAATTGCCACTGCAGTCCTCAGTGAAACCAGACTACAGTATACACCTTCTTTTGTCCTGGTTGACCTAAGGATGAACCCAAACAAGCTGGTGTTGGCTTTGCCATTAAGAGCCACTATCACTCTTTCCAAGGGTTAGAGAAGCCTTCCCTCACTTAGACAAACTTGTCACCAGGGGTTGACTTTATCTCCAGGGAAAGAGGTCCTTTTGACAATGTCAGATTATTGTTGACAACTTCGCAAGAGCTTGCTGCAGATATGGCCTAACCACCAACATCAAGAAGACAGTTCCACCAGTGCCCAACACCATGTACTTTAGAACGCTGCAGAACCCAAAGTCATAGAATTGCTTGTTGTGCATTGTCCAACTCCACTCGATGGGCAGATGTGTTGTGCTGGGTTCTCCATGCTAAAAATATTGATAATTTGCAAACTTATAAATTCTTACTATTTGTTCAATGGTCTTTTGCTTTGGTCCATTCCATACTCCCTTTGCAACACTGTACGGTGTTAAGTTTTGGTTTTCTGCCAAAACACCGGGAACATTTAAGTTATCTGGAAACAAGAATACCACAACTTAAACATCAATGTCAGGGGAAATCCTGCAGCAATTATCGATAAAACTATAATTAATAAAACATGAAAACATTATTTAGATATTATTCACTTAACACAAAACTATGCTTATTTACCAAAAACACTGAAGGTAAACGTATTCTAACAATTAGAGCTATAAAATAAATTAAAATGATGTATTAAAGATAATAATTGAAAAGAATAGCACAAACTGTCACTCCCAGTAACAAAGCTGTTTTCCATTTTAATTATAAATGGACAGACAATAAATTTAAGCAGTGAAATTTTAAAACAAAGCATGAAAAGATTTAATTAGTTACGTATACAGTATGTTGACAATACCCTTTGGAGGTGTAACAACTTCTGGCTCAGATTCAGTTGAAATTTTATGTTGTCTTTTGAGTGCCTCTGGAAATGTAAACCTGCAAAATTATAATTGTTTGAGAAACTCATTTTAGTGCATGCTTAAAGTAAATTGCACTGCTCATTATTAACTAATACACTCTAATTAATTGCCAACCCAGAGTGTTTTTAGATAAATAATAGGTGAAATAAAAAATAGCAAAGGCGAGATACATTGTATATTGTTATTATTCTTGATAAGTATTACCATATAATTATAGAAGATGTTTGCATTTGATGTTAGGAACACACAGGATTCATTTTGGTTTTTCATCCAAACTTAAAGTTGAAATTTACTACTAAAGGCTAACTCGATAACTTCTCAGTTTACTTAGCCTTTAGGCACTACCTCACTAAAATCATATTATACACTTAAATAAATTTAACTTAATTTCTAATTGTATGAGGAAGTAGCTGATCCCATTAAAGAGTGCTCAATACACATAAAGTGTAGAGCTAGTTATATATATGATATCAAAGAGGCAAGATTTTGCTGTAACTCCGAGTTTCGTGCTACGCACTCATCAGACAGTATTTAATCAAATTAATTAAATACTGTCTGATGAGTGCGTAGCACGAAACTCGGAGTTACAGCAAAATCTTGCCTCTTCGATATCATATATATAACTTAATTTCTACATAATTACATAGTTAATATAGAGGACTGGGTCCTCTCTATTAACTATGATAATTATTATACATTTGAAAATATTATCTTTATTTTTGGTGCAAAATAAACTGATTCTGATTCTGATTCAGGATTGTTGAGAGATGGGACATGAGAAAAGTTTTGTTAATTGACCATCATGATAATTACCGTATTACTCATSTATAAGCCGCTCTCATAGATAAGCTGAGTGATCCATTGCTGCATTGCGTATGCAATTACAATCAGTTTATTTAACGTGCTGTGTACTGTGATGCTCTTGGAGTTTATCGTGTAGGCATAATTGTTTAATAGATTGATACCGTATTTACCCATGTACAAGCCGCTCTCGTAGATAAGCTGCACCCCGAGTTTTAGGAACATTTTTGAGGAAAAAAAGATGGAAAATAAACTTTTCTCTTATTGATCGCCACTTGAGAACACAGCTTTCTTTGATTTTAAAGTGCTTTTCCGCAGCTTGATTTCCAATTTGCAATTACAACCAGTTTATTTAACGTGCAGTGTATGATGATCTTGGAGACATAATTGTTAAGATTMATAATTGATACTATATTAAAAGAGTTGTTTTTCATTTGAAACGTAAAAACATTAAACTAGTAATTAACTTGAGTGATATAAATCTCATCGTGCCGCCAAACTTCTAAACATAAGGATCATGCCGAAACCGTTTCGTATTTCAAAAAAATATTWAAGCAGATTGTATTTGTTTAATATAAGAACAATTTCTTAGGCTAATTTCTTGGGTATTCAAAATATTCATATATACTAATACCCTGGATTCTTACACTTTAAGGTGTTTCAATTGTAATAAACAGCGTTTCACGCGTAATTTTAAACTCCAACTATGTCACAAATTTCGATTTGATTGCACTCAATTTTCACAGAGAAGTATAAGTGATTATAGATAATTCTTATTTATAGATTAATTTGCAAAAACATGGAAGCTATTTGGATAATCAATGGAAAATAAAAACACCATCATTTTTCTTCAAAGTCAATTTTCTCAAAACTCATCGCAGAGATTGTAATAAAATTTTCAGAGTCATTTCTTAATAACATAATTGACATACTGACGAAGTTTGAATGAAATGTTAACCTAAATTTTCGAGATATTTSAGCATTTCAAAATGTTTCTCAAAACGATGAGGCCATGTTTAAAGTCCTCGTTTGTGACAATATTCGAATGTTAAATGAAAAAACTACTATAGGTTGAAAGCTTAATCTTTCGTACAACTGTTGTCAAAGGCAAATGCCCTTTAGTTTACTATGAAAAAAGTTATTGCCATTTKCGCACCTAGTATATTTTAGAAATTTAAACAACTTCATTTCGGAACGTAAAAGAATATTTCCTCCATAAAACATTACGCTTTATTGCTCAAATAATCAAATTTCCATCACCAACAGATACTGCCAGCTATATTTGAGCTTTGGAAAGGGCTACATTACGATAAAATGCAATCGAATCGAAATTTGCGACGRAGCTGGAGTTTAAACATACGCGCGYAACACTATTCATTACAATCAAAATACCTTGTGTGATAATGTCGCTTAAATGAGCAATGCAAATTAGCATGGTGTTACCAAAACAACTCCAAGACAAAAATGCTCTCTGTTCATTGGTTCAATAACCATGCACTTTTTAGTTTGATTAATTGACTTGTGTTTCTCAGAGTCAGATTTTTGGAGAATTCAGAGTWYCAGTACTGAGAAGTTTGCATTAAAACATTTAAGTTATGTTTGCGCCGTGTAAAAATTTATGCAAATTAAGCTTTTTTCGGGCATTTTATAAATCTTCTTGTAGATGAGCCGCACCCCCAATTTGGGAATGCTTTATTTGGAAAAAAGGTGTAAATATGGTATTATCTTGTAAATCAGAGCTAAATCCAATTTACCCTGTCTCATTTGCAAGACCAGGTTCCAATTCTCCAGAAGAACTTAATGGATAATTTGGTGTGGGATAGTCTGAACTTGTTATCCATGTCAAAGTAACAGCAGTACCAATTCCTCTTACAACTATACCAAACTCACCCTCAAGATCAAAACACTGATGATACCTAAAAAAAATTGAATTGCAAAACTTCACTAATAATTAACTGTAACACAGTTACAATCATGGAAAGAATAGCAGGCCCAAAATATACCCCAGTGGCTTTGCTGAGAAAATGGTTAGTCAATTGGAGAAAGATTGATTCTTTAACTGAACATTTACTCTCAAGAGCATGTTTTAACAGGTAAAAAGATAGAATATTCTCTCATGCTGTAGATTATATGTAGCATGGGTTTCCTGTGGAACACATCTCCAGGGATTGTGGGTGGGGTTCACCCATCCATTAGGACACAGACCACGTGCAATTGAGCGTCAGTTCTCGGAGTCAGTGTATTTGAGGAAAGATTACTAAAGGGTAAAGCAAGAACCTGCAGGATATCAGGTTACAAGGAGGATTAAACATGAAGTCTTTCTGGAAACATACTATAATAAAGCCGCCAATGGCAACACAACTCGAAGATTGATTGTGGAGACGAATAAAGAACGATACGATGAATCGAATTATAATTACTTGACAAATAGAATTTTGAGTATCTGATTTATGAATATAGTTTGTTTTTTTGTTATATTTTATTAATTTAACTTCGGATCTGGACCCCAGTCTAGCCAGATTAAACTATGTAAAATCACCYCAAGTGCCAAAACGCAATAATAACAATCCCCAAGTAAACACAACTTCGCCTCAACCGCAACGATCAATATCTCGGGAGTTTAATTAAAGCAAACAATAGAAACTTCAACAAAAAGCCAAATACAAATTTTCTTAAATTTGATCATCAAAGAGTTTGTAAGCTTAAACGTATCAATGATTGAAAAGGTCAATAGACGAAACATGTTTCATTGAAAGTCTTGGTTTTAGTGTGTCAAACAAGAATTTTGTTTAAAAAACAAGTTCACATGTACCATGAAACAGTCAAATAGTATCTGGTTTAACAAGGCAAAAGGGGCATTTTCTTAAAATATCTGAGTCTGTCGGAGAAAGAAATTTGTGTTCTTATACATTTTTGTTAAATCATAATTGTGGTCATTTTAGTAATCAACCTATAGGTAACAAAGAAACTGTCAAAGTGAATATGCAAAGAAATTTTGCATAAGTATCTATAGACAACAGATGTGCTGCAGATGTGTATTCATATTCTTTAAGCACATGTTGTATATTTAATTCAGAAGTGTTTGGACYTCGATGTATAAAGGAATACAAGGAAGACTACAGTCTCTTTGATTGCGAGCTGCGTAGAGCTGGAAAATTCTACGACAGAGTCTTCATTGTTTCATTTTAATATTAACTTGGGTTCTTGATAAGCACAGGCCAGCACCTTCGTACAATCATTTTCGAAACGAATTGGAGGATCATCCAATCTTCTTTGCTTGCTTCGACCTTTGCGAGTGACTTAACGGTATGTCGAATCAAATTATAATTACTTTTCAAATAAAATTTAACATTATTTTATGAATACAGTTTTCTTTTTAGTTAAAATCTAATTATTTTTAACTTTGATTTTTGACAACCAGGAGCGAGAACCTGCAGTTAAAAGACAAGTCTAACCGCAATTATGTAACATTGGTACGTGTGGCCGAATGGAAGTGCTTTCGATTTCTAAATCAAAGGTCTGAGATTCGAGACTCAGAGGAGATGACATTTCTTTAGATTTTTTTCTTTGCCAAAAAATAAATGAATAAATAATCAAATGTYGAACAGGAAAACCGGTAACGGCAAATTAATGAATAAATTACTAGAAAACAATGAGAATAAATGAATAGTTCTGAATAGTCCTGAAGTAACGCAGGCTCAAGTTTACAGGAAAGTGAGTGACTGAGTGATTAAGTGAGTGACAGACTCGTCCCCCTCCAATAACTCTTCGATTGCTTCGCAATCTTCGAGTTAAAAATTGTGAATAAATAAAATTCAAGTCTATAATATATCAGAGTCATTGCAGTTACACTATCTCTAATGTTGTTACTGATCAAATAAATTTTGCTAACYTGCAATACTTACCCAATCACTGCATTCCCCCCGAGCTCCAATACTTTTAAACCAATTTTTCTCTGAAGTTCTCCTTAAAGATAGAATAACTTTTCAACTTTTTCACTATATTGTGCATTACCTAGTAACTTGATTGTATAAGCCACAAACAGTATCAAAATTATAATTTAAGCAATACAGTAATAATTACAGTTCATGAAATTATAATCATAAAAATTGACTTGCATCACCACTATATCCAAAAACTATACAAAATCAAGGGATGTACATTGTATTATGATCATTTTGATGTATATATTGTTTTGGAGTTGGTTGTGGGTAGATAGGATACTCACAGACCACTGTGATCCAAAGGGACTCAATAGCTATTAATTTCAAACCTCTAATAGAATCTTTTTAATAAATGATAAATGAGATAAATACAATAGATAACCGTTTTAAAGCATTTTGACATTCATTTAAATAATACAATACAGTGTCAATGTAATATACTTTACAGTAAGTTACGATTACAGTTGCAATTGTGCTCATTGTTACGGCCCAACTACAATAAATGTAATAAATAAATGAGCAAATAATATACAAAATCTGCAAAATATACTCTTTACAGTTTACCAAGGACTAAGAAAAATTAAATTGCATATTGAACTAAACAACCTAAAAAACTATTTACAGTGTGCCTACAAACAAAAATGCAGATTATGTGGAGACAAAAGACAACTAATGTTGAAAACTAAACAATGAAATTACATTTTTCATAATTAACTATTATATTAATATATTGACCGCTGCATGTTCTGATAGTTCAATCTGGACAAGCACAAAATTATCAAGAGGTTGAAATTTACCCAATCTCAGCCAACCACAGTCGTATTTTACGAGGGGAATAGGCATGGTAATCTTTACCCGTTTATAGCCATATCACATATAATTATAAGTAAACTGTAAGTATAGTTTACTTTCACATGTAATCTTTAAACATATATTCGTGAAATGTTGAAGAATCACAGAAAGGTAAATATGCAAGAATTGAGAATTAAAAAGCGAAATTGATGCTTTTTAGAATAATATTTACACTCAATCATATCTTTTGATTTTTTTTGMWGATCACACGATTGTAGATCACACTCTTTTTTGAAACATGGTTAATTTGGCTATTTGATGATGTCAGCATTGCCTCGTTCTTTGGTTAAATGCATCGGTTAATCAAAAGATAAATAATATTCAGAAGTCAAAATTTAGTTGCTGATAATATCTGATTTGAAAGGATACCATCTAGCCACATCCTTTGGAGTTTCAGGATCACTGGTTACAGGCCAAAAATCAGTGATGATATCCCATAATTTCTTAATTTTAAATACGAGTAAGGTTGTAACAAAATGCAATATTCTGGACCTTAAGCTTCACTATGAAAAAAAGGTTACTAATGATGATTCCCTTTATAAAATACAGCTGTATTCCCTCTAATTGAGATTTAAAAAAATTTCTTTGGAAACATTGTCTGATAATAACAAAATGTTTGTTTAATAGATAATAAGGCGTTGATGGTAAAAAAGAGTTGCACTATAACCTGATAGTTTGGTAAATATCCTTTGACGAGCCTCATTTGATGATCTTGGTGTCCTTATTTTATCTATCCACTTTTGAGGTAAACAGAAGCAATATGTCAACAAATAAAAAATAAACATGATGGAAGAATATGTTGAAAGTATTTTGTAAACGTGAAAGCGATAAATGCTGAAAAAATGACGGACAAGGTAACTGCTGAGTTTAGTTGCTTAGCTATAAAGCATGTGCAATTTACTGCAACATTTTGATAAATTATTCATCCCAGTGCAAATGGAAAGCAAGCCGATCTGTTGCATAAGGGAATGCTGCTATGTGCTGAGTCCCTTGTAGCCTCGTTTTAGTMTTTTTTGTAGGATTAAGAATTTTCTTTTGTCAACATGATATGAAAGTCGTAAATCACATAGTATTACCTGATATTCTGGGTCATCATTAACAACAAGTTCTTCAACAAAACCCTGAATGGCAGTTGCTTTAAATCTTGTAGGTATAGAACATGCTGCAATAATAATTATTAATAATATAATAACTGTATTAAGGTGCAAAAAAACAATATTTATCATAATTTATAATCTCTGGAATAGTTCCAATAACAAAATTATCTGACAAGATACAAACTTAAAGTACACCTTTTGCTGTTCATTAACCGCGAAGGGACTTTCAATCAAGCGAAACTGCATTGTCTTTAGCGCGAACGAACGTTCATTAACGCTTAGGGAGTTTCAAGAGCGTGAAGGGAGAATCATTAACATATTTAGCATAGACATGGACAATCATGCATAACTGGGCGCAGATTCATTAACGTTTTCAAACCTTCATTAGACCATTATGTGCATTKAATAAACTACAACAAACATACAATACCAAAATACAGAAAAGAAAGTCCCTTCGCGGTTAATGAACAGCAAAAGGTGTYTTATAATTATGATTGTTTTGTTTGTTTGTTTGTTTTTTGTAGTTTTTTCTTCAGGTGTATTAACCCCCAATGTAGCYGCAACCGCTAGATAATCCTCGGCCGGGTCCTCATACGCTCTTACAAGACGCTCTTTCACTTCGCTCAAAATTCGATGTCGATGCGGAGGCATTGCATTCCAACTTTAAACAAGTCGTAGTAGCTGTAACGAGTCATATTTCATGCTGAAATTTGACTGCAAAAACTATGACGAAATTAAATGTCCGTATTTTGGTATTGTATGTTTGTTGTAGTTTATTGAATGCACATAATGGGCTAATGAAGGTTTGAAAACGTTAATGAATCTGCGCCCAGTTATGCATGATTGTCCATGTCTATGCTAAATATGTTAATGATTCTCCCTTCACGCTCTTGAAACTCCCTAAGCGTTAATGAACGTTCGTTCGCGCTAAAGACAATGCAGTTTCGCTTGATTGAAAGTCCCTTCGCGGTTAATGAACAGCAAAAGGTGTATTATAATTATGATTGTTTTGTTTGTTTGTTTGTTTTTTGTAGTTTTTTCTTGTCGTTTTTTGAGTGGATTTTAACTCAGGAATCAGAGTTATGTACCAACAATTAAATTTACTTACTGTAGAAAAACTGAACCCCACATGATGTTTGCCTGAACTTATTGGAATCTACAAAGAAGTCTACTTTTACTTGTATGAGTAGTTCACCACGAATTCCTATGTAACACACAAAGAGATAAACAAAAATCATGTTATTTGAAAAATAGTAGTTAACAACGCTGCTCCCCATGGATTGTTGTAAACTATACAATACATATACATAAAAGATATTATTACATTGGCACAGGGAAATTGGATGTTATCTTGAAATCTTTCAATTAATATCTTGCAAGTGATTGTGAGGCAAACAAAAGAGATATCATTCGAACACGAGAAAATAGAATACCTCCAAGCACCAATGTAATGTTCTGTTTATTACATAAACAAGAAAAGGGACAATTTGTTAAGAGTATCCATTACATTGATGAAGTAATACCATGAAAACTTTGGATTCTTTTGTCTTCCAAGGGATGCTTTAGYGGAACATCCCTCGCTCAAGAATTACCATTTACTAGTAATTGTCCCTCATGRATAATAACATGAGGGACGATTATGCTCATCAGGAAGGCAAAGGAAACTTTTGCTTCCTAGCAGGGACAACTGATTGTTCCTATACAGTCTTCTTTAATAAACTCTCCAATGCACAGTCTTTTAATTTACTCAGTCACACTGAAGTGTGAGGAGCATTTTGGTCCAAATTGGCCGAATTATCACTATTCCATACCACTGAGGATGTGTCACGTGACACTACAAAAATATAGTCTCTATGTATCCTATGATGATGTAAACTGTATATGTTATATAGTATATGTTATATATACTATAACTAACACAAAACTTTGGAAAGCAGTTTTTATTTTTCATATTTTTGATCTTTTATATAATTCTTTATGAAATATTTTTAAATATTTTTATACATTAGTTATCAAGAAATGTAGATGTTATTATACTGAGAGTCAACTGTCTATAAAAAAGTATTATCCTATCTCTATCGTGTAGTTCCAGAAAATATCCATACCCCCACCACGGAGGATATTTCATTTATGACCCCCCCCTCCCTCCCCCGAATTTCCGATTTTTGACATATTTTTTACAACTCTTCCCCCACCCCTCCCAAATTTCGCATAGAAAGGCAGGTATTACCCCCACGCCCCTCGGAATTTCCATCAATACAAGATACGCATTTTGCCAATTTAAAATCAAATGTTTTTGAGAATGAGAAGAACAGAGGACAAATAACAAACYGAAGCCGCGGAGATGGAACAACGAAATCTATCACCACATTGATTTGATACGCATATATATCCATGAACTTTGCAAATTCTAAGTACAATCTCGAAGAACTATCGGCCGGAATGTGTCAAGCCTAGTTTCTTTACTGTTTATATAAACATTTGCACTTCTATTACGATKTAGAAATCAATCTTTTCCTCCAAAATATGTATTTTTTCAGCAMAGTAAATCTTAAATGTTCYATTTTGGTGTTTTACCTAAAGCTCAAGCTTCTTTGTGGTCATAAATCTTTGCCGATTATCAAACCGTCACTTGAGTGTAAACAACCACGTGCTTTGACTAACAAATAAATCTAGAATCTTATTTATACACTTATTCATTAATAAAAGAAGGATTCTTTTGCATTTTTCTATCATCAACCTTTCTTTCTTTTTAAATACAAGTACAAACATTGAGTTTTAGTTTCACAGACTTAATTAGTCATTCTACTGACAGTGTTCACTTGTATTTTCTTTCTTCAATCGAAGAAAGAGAAGAAGAAGAAGCTGAGAAGAAGCTGTGTGTTGGAAGCAGAATCTTCATTTAAATTTACGTCAAAAAACTAATAAGAGCGACCAGCGAGTCAGGAATACGCTAATAACGCATATCTACGATTCTTTGTAGATCGATTGCAGATTAACCCCCACCCCCTCGGAATTTCCAAGCTACTTTAACCCCCCACCCCCACCCCCTCGGAATTTCCGAAATCCTCCATGGTGGGGGTATGGATATTTTCTCTTAAGTTAGTTATCATTTGCCTTATTAAAAAGGGCACCTCGGTACTTTGCAAAGTTTAACACAATTTTCCAAGTGGCTTGTTGTTTAAGGCTATTTATATCACAAACATTTACATAGTTACAGGGTTCTTACCATGCATTGTATNTTTGCATTTTTCTATCATCAACCTTTCTTTCTTTTTAAATACAAGTACAAACATTGAGTTTTAGTTTCACAGACTTAATTAGTCATTCTACTGACAGTGTTCACTTGTATTTTCTTTCTTCAATCGAAGAAAGAGAAGAAGAAGAAGCTGAGAAGAAGCTGTGTGTTGGAAGCAGAATCTTCATTTAAATTTACGTCAAAAAACTAATAAGAGCGACCAGCGAGTCAGGAATACGCTAATAACGCATATCTACGATTCTTTGTAGATCGATTGCAGATTAACCCCCACCCCCTCGGAATTTCCAAGCTACTTTAACCCCCCACCCCCACCCCCTCGGAATTTCCGAAATCCTCCATGGTGGGGGTATGGATATTTTCTCTTAAGTTAGTTATCATTTGCCTTATTAAAAAGGGCACCTCGGTACTTTGCAAAGTTTAACACAATTTTCCAAGTGGCTTGTTGTTTAAGGCTATTTATATCARAAACATTTACATAGTTACAGGGTTCTTACCATGCATTGTATCATAGATAGGAAACCAACCCTTTATACAGCCTGGAGGATCCTGGGTCAATAGAGAGCTAAGACTAATATTAACCTTTCCTATAGCGTCATGTGCAGTGACTGTATCATGATCCATTATCCTGACAATATTGAAAAAGCAAAATATAGATTAATGAGTCGTTCCAGAAATAGATGTCCACGCCAAACAATATTAAATTTGGATATTTCAGCAAGTTTCCATACAATTTATTGTTTTCTTAAATTGTGCCCATGTATACTTATCAGAAGAATATTAATGTTTAATTTAATAATACCATAATCACCTCGGATTCTTTTGTCTTCCGAGGGATGTTRACAAGTGAACACCCCTCCCTCATGAACAGCATGAGGGACGATTACTAYTAATCGTACCTCATGCATAATAACATGAGGGAAGATTAGACTAATCGTCCCTCATGTTATTCATGAGGAACGGAAGGCAAAGGAAACCTTTGCTTCCTAGTAAGGGACAACTGAATGTCCCTACAGCTGTCTTCTTTTTAACTCTGCAATGAACGCTCTCATTATTGTCTCAGTCACACTGAAATGTGGGATGATTTTTGGGCCAAATTGACCAAGTAGCTATGGTTCCGAGTCACTACTTRGTACCGCTGAGCATGTGCACTTGACGAATTTCAATGTTTGATAATAGTTGATGAGCTTCTTGGCATTATAAAAACTACATTTCGGGGTTGAAGTTAAGGTTTGTTAACTTCACCATTGAATAGAACTGAAATGCAATTGTTAAAAGTTCGTTGTGTGAAATTAGTAACAGTGGTCGGATTGCAAATCATTTTGTACTGTTGTTCTGCGAAAACCTTTTCAATGACACAATATAGTACTTGATACTCTTAGAACAGTGCGTATATCTATTCTTTTCATGTCACATCCCAATTCATGCATGAATTGTTTGTTGCAATGTTTTTATTAAAAAAAAAAGAATTCACATTCGCTCAAGTTCAACTTCAATTTTTTCCTTGGAAATGATGGTATTACAAAGTAATAGCATGGCTTCCTCTGGAGATTGGGGATTAAATGTCCCTCAGCCTCGGACAGAAAGTAAAAGTCTTCAACTTATATGTATCGGCCCTCAGCTTCAGGGACATTTAATCCCTAGTAATCTCTCTCAGAGCCATGCTATTACCTATAATTGCATGCAATATGACTAAGTCATCATTACAACATGCTTACAGCTGTTGTAGAGATTGTTTGATAACCCTATGACAGTTGTAGCCATGTTGTTATGATGACTTTAAGCATATTGCATGCAATAGTAAGTTGTAGGGAAAAGTTGCACTGTCTAAATTGGCCTTAAGAGCTTGCGCCAATAGTGTGCACATTCAGACTTCTTGCTTTCAAGCAATAGTTGGTTGGCCTGTGGTTTTAGTGAGCCTTTTCTAGCATTTTTGCTGKATAATTTGATGTTAAAATGCCCCATAATTTTAAATCTTTTGCTGCACTATATCAGATAGCCTGGAGTCATGATCTTTTGTTATCTTGAAACAACATTTTATGCAAGAATAAATGACGTTATAAAGCTTTGTGATGCTCAAAARGTGCTGTTTCTTCTAATGTTTGCTCTCTGGGAGACTGTGTGGTAATTTGCATTCCAATATAAAGGCCATCATGACGACTATCATGAACAACTAAAGACCTATTAAATGCAAAATCTTATTGACTATAAAGCCTTGAAATTTTGTAAATTGTGCATTTGATTTCACAACACATCCCTCAGCACTCTAGTCAATTACCATTATTGAATTTCTATAGAAAAATATTAAGTACAAATTTTACACCTTACAATTAATAGGTGACATACAGTACAATATAGACCCCTTGCATGTGACGTCAAAGCAGCTTCATCTGGAGGACAAAACAAAAGATTTTTAACCTCTTGGGAACTAGAATCCATTGTTTTGTCCTCCAGTTGGAGCTGCATTCCCATGAACTGCAAGGGGTCTATAGGATTTTCAAAGCTACAAGGTTGTGGGTTTTGGTGTCATTTGAATTTTTCTTTCTTTCTTTCAAGTTTCAGACAGAAAATTTCTAAGTTGAACGCAGTAGTTAATTAGGTATTCAAGGGCAATGATATACATTATTGTTATATTTGTAAATTATTTTCACTGTTTTCTCGCTCTCTTATTGGACGATTTGGTGTCACGTGTCCAGAGCTAAAATCAACTGTTGACTGATTGGTCAACTGTTTCCGACTGTTTACAAAATGGAGCCGGCATCAAAACAGATTTTCAAATCTTAGTCAAGAAATAGATGACGAAATAGATTTTGATTTTTTTTATTTACATAATTTACCAATATAACAAAGCACTTAATGACTGTTCCCTCGGGAAACGGATAGTTTTTGTTTCCCGAGAATCTCAATGTTTCCCTCATTGAGATTCGAGGGAAACAAAACTAACTGTTTCCCTTGGGAACAGTCATTTAAGTGTATATTCAATGGCAATATATAGATATTGCCCTCAAATGGGGGCAATATATAGATATTGCCCTGAAACTTCGATATAAAGCACTTGAACACACAATGAGCTGTGGAATAAGCAAGATACAACACTATGAATAACAAAGAAAACTGAATCAAGTATGAAATAAGGGTTATTAGAATGGCAAATTTCTGCCAAGAGGTTCTTAATCCATAAGGTTCAATTTTCGGATGTTTATCGTTTAATTACCACACAGTTGCATTTGAATGGTGACTGATGTTTAAAAATTACCAGCTAACAACTTTATATATTGCTTATCAAATTCTTTAATAATTCTTATCAAATTCATTAATAATTCATAAGGTAAACACAATGGAAAATCATTGCTGTGACCGCATCTTTATATGAGCAAGAGATTTGTCCTGATTTGCATACAACTTTAACTTCGATTTTCTGTTACAAATGATATTTTATCCTGGAGTTTTTTTTCGAAATATGCTTTAGCTTATGTTGTAATTTGATAAGCAATATAAAATATTCGTGTCCTACCTTTATGGGCTATAAAACTGCTCGCTTGCAGCTCGCAGTTTTAAATYCCCATAAAGGTCTCCCACTCATATTTTATATATTTATTTACATAATGTTAATACACCATGGAAAATCATTGCTGTGACCACATCAAAGTTATATTATTGAGCAAGACATTTGCCCTGATTTGCATATGACTAACTTTGATTTTCTCTTACAAATGATATTTTATCTTGAAGTTTTATGCAAAATTTAAATATGCTTTAGATTATGATGGAATTTGATAAGCAATATAAAATATTCCCGTCCAATCTTTATGGACTCTAAAACTGCTCCCTTACAGCTCACAGTTTTATATGCCCATAAACATCTTCCGCTCATATTTAATGCATAGTTTGAAACACGAGAGAGAGTGTTTTATCAGAAGGCGAGAATCTTTATACCTGATAAAACACAATCTTGAGTGTTTTAAACAGCTTCAAAWACTCCAACACTAATTTAAAACTCAAAGCTGTTAAAATGCTTGGAGAAATTGACATAATACATGTAAATATAAGTTTTGAGATAAACCTTATTAGTATTCTTTATATAAAGAATACTAATAAGGAGTGTTTTATCAGATATAAAGSTCCATGCATGTGACCAAATAGGCTCATTCCATTGGCCTAAAAACTCCTTAATTATGTATAGTACAAGTTTTTGAAATATTAATTTAAATCTTTTTGGAAAGAAACTATTGAAACTATCAATAGTTATAAAGTTGAGTATTTTGATAGTTATCGAAAGAGCAATGCCATCGATGCATTTGCTATTACAGCTTTGACATCCAAATCATTCGATATTTCAATTTCACACCTTTCTGTGAAACAAGCAATAACAATCTGCTATGTTAGCTTCCTTTGCAGACTGTTCCTCAATAACTCAAAACTTATTTTTAAATTTGTTCACTTTTTCTGTTTTGTAATTTAAATCCTACTACCATATATTTATATAAGTTAAGCTTAAACTTAAATCCCTTTGGGAACTGCTGAGTTTTCTAACTAAACTTCCTTAATATTTTAACAAAGTATGACTGTTACACCCAATGTTGATAATCAAGCTTTCAGGAGCTTCAGTAGCGAATGGTATAATTCAAGGTAAAAGTAATATTGAGACTTAAAGTAGACTTAAGCTCAAGCTTACTTTATTGTCTCTAATGTTTTTAAAAGTATTAAACTGGAAAGTATGCAAAGTTGTAATTTAGTGAAGGAGAAATACGGCAAAAGCGTCGATCCTAATGTAAATAAGTTAAAAACGATCACTTTCGCACGATGAACAATTAGCTACAGAAACGGCAAAAACTAAGCTTTGCTGTTCGATACAGGCTTTAGGCTTAATTAAGCTTAAGTAACTCATATCAAACTTTTACCTCGACAAAAGCGTCTGCTAAGTCACTAGTTCTGTCCATTACTGGTAAATCACGAGCTGACACAATCCGCACTTTAACTTTTCCAGGCATCGTTAAAACCACGCCGTAATATCTAACAAACAAGACGGAGTGCACTTAGTACTTAATGTACTT